GGTCTCACAAAATTAGACCGTCTCACATGAACCTAACCCTATATATATATATATATATATATATATATATATATATATATATATATATATATAGGTTCAGATATTAAAAGTAATTATTGTGTTATTTTATGCATTAATATGAGTCAATCAGTTGAAAACTTAAATAAGGATATGTAATCTAACCTATTAATTAACTTTGTTAACTAAATAAAAATTTATCTAATCTCTAAAATATTGGATTGCTTTCCTATAAATCCCTTTAAATTCGTTCAAGACCCATACCCTAAAATCCTTTGAAGGCTCCTGCTTCACTCACTTGTCCATCCAACCGACGACTTAGCACTATCGTCGTACCACTGGAAGTTGTTGTCGCTCCTCTCGTCGGTGTCGCACACCATCTGCCGACCATTCTTGCATCTCCATTTGACCCTATTCTCCTCATCGTTGCTCCTGCTTCACACCCCATCCCACCCAAATTTGGTAACATATCGCCACCCCCGCAACACCGAAAGCTGCATTCTCTCCTCCTCAGCGGTGTTGGGACCATCGTTTGGGTTTGGAGGCGGAATGGTTCGTGGTAGCCGGGTAAGATCTTGGGCCCCGATAAGCTCTCTGCTTCTTCTCTCATATCTCCCCGATTTGGAACTCATGTCAAACTTCGTGGGAGGGAAGATGTCACTGTGTAAGTCCTCTAATTCACTTCCTAGATTTCGTTCTTATGCTTTCTGTATCTCGTGTATATTTGCTGGAATGCTGAAAGAACAAAGACAATTAGTGCGATTTTCATTTGTTGAGGAAGTAAAAAAGAATGATTGGGTTAAGAAATCTTAAAGAACACAAAAATAATTTTATGAGAATATTGCACACCAGGTGTTTGTAGAAATGTCTGAAAAAGAACTTGATGTTCAAATTCTTGAAGAACACAAAAATAATTTATGAGTTCGTTAGTAGTGTTACTTGATTTTAACATGTAGTATGAGTTCTCTAAGAATTACTAAAATTTATTTTATTTTTGTCGTATAAAAGCATTCTCACATAGTTTTATTCTTACATAATTCAATTTCATGACAGTTATTCAAGCCCTGTATTATCTTCACTTGTTTTGCAACTATAATAATAACTAATAAGCATTCTTCATAAGGCCTAATTGTCAAATTAGATACGTTGTTATTTTATTATTTAAAACAAATATATTCATCATTTTGGAAATTTTTGCTTGTAATTTGTGAATTTGGTTTTAAGGATTGTCATACGATGTCATCGTAGTTATTCTTATAAAATGCTCAATTTCATAGCAGTTATTCTCATATAATGCGTGAAGGAGACATGTTGATCAAGGGCGTGAACGTTTAATGATAACATGTGAAATGAAGATGAATAATGCTCAATGGTCTTCACAAAAGTAAGCATTATTCATCGTTATATTCTGGCACAATAGTTCATAATAAAATGATCAAGTGCATTCGTTCAAGAATTCTATATTTAAGAATTTTATGCTTTTTAAAATCTTTATTTATTTTTTATGACATTCTGGTAGAATATGTGTAATTGTGTTAAAATGTACATGACTATTATTCTATAAGAACATGTATGAATCTATATTTACATTCAATGTCTATATATATATATATATATATATATATATATATATATATATATATATATATATATATATATATATATATATATCATGTTATTTTTACACTAATGGTTCAAAACTATTGTGTGTCTTCAAAATATTCATTAATTCAAAACATTTATTTTTTCAGAATACATAATTTAACATTCTCATAAAATATCATTCTAACATAATTAGCTTAGAATTATAATCTAGTTAGTTAAAAAAAAAAAAATCAAAATTCAAAATTAACAAAATCAAATATCTCTGAAAATTCGAAACTTTTTATTAATTAAAATTGTGTTTCCTAATTAGTAAATTTTTGGTAAATTAAAAAAATGAATGTTATCTATTTATTAAATGGAAAGCTTTTTCTTTTTCTTTTTTAATTTCTTTAACCACAATAATCAATTTCTTAATTTACCAAAAATGACTGGTCCACATTTATGTATAGAATAACATAATAATTATTTTGAATAAAATAACCTAGTTATATATATATATATATATATATATATATATATATATATATATATATATATATATATATATATATATATGTTCAATTAAGAAAAGAAAGGTTGAGAATGCGGGAATCATTCTCAGCCAATCATTTATTTTTGCTGTAAAAGCCTCCAACGTACCAACGGAAATGGGAAATGAATGCACATGTGTTTTCCAACAAAACATGTTTACTTAAACTATGCTAAGCATTACCTTAATATATACAAAAACATAGTTTTTTCGTTTTTTTTTAATTTTTAAAAAGCTATTTTTTTATCGAAAAATGATTTTAAATATACCAAAATTAATGATTTTTTATTCTCTACAAATAGACATCCATATGGATATAGTTTTAAGATAAAATAAAAAGTTTATTTTTTTTTATATTTTCAGCTATCGTTATTCATAAGTGAATAAAAATGAATCAGGTTTTTACTACAGTACATTCGTTATTCACTTATGAATAAAAGTATAATTTTTTTTTTACAATTTAAGTATCATTCATATATAAATATAGCATATACTAAACATATTATATTCATATTTAAATATTAGACGATGCATTTACTTGTGAATATTACATAGTATATTCACTTGTGAATGTTAGATGGTATATTCATTTATGAATATTAGATGATATTTTCATATGTGAATATTATATAGTATTACATTGTATATCAGATGATAATAGCACGTACTATATTCACTTGTGAATATTAGATCGTATATTCACTTATGAATAATAGTTGATATATTCATATGTGAACATTGCACAATATATTCATATATGAATATTATAAGGTGTTTTAAAAAATATATATAATTTTTATATGTTATTCACATATGAATAACATACAGACTTGCATATTTGTTTTGTGTTTTAATAATCACATATTGATTCAGTTGAGAAAACATATTAATATGTGAATATAACGTGATAATTTAGTTTATGCATTTCATCAAACAGTTGGAGTGCATACAAATTAACTTTTTTTAAAATGTGATAAATGTGATACTTTGACTATTTAAATCTTACAAAATAGTAGATTGGTAGAGAAATATATGAAAATTTTCAAACAAAAAATGATTTGATCTTTTTCTAACCTTAATTTCGATATTTTATTTGAAGAACGATGTTGAATGAATGATAAGAATTGGTTTTTTTATTGATTATCGATGATGTTGTTCTAATGATGCTGTGGGTATAATTAATCGTATATGTTAAAGATATGTTCGTATTCAAACAGAATTGAATGTTGGATTGAAAGAGCAAAAAAACGAATGAATTTCAACTGTTATCTAATTCTCTACACTTACGTATTTGTGATTGAAGACTATTATATTATATTTACAAGTTTGTCACCGTGTCCTTTATGTTTAGAGGCTAATTAAATAAGTGACTGAGAATGATTCATCCAATCTCAATCTTTTTTATTTTCTCAATTGAACCCACCTCTCTCTCTCTCTCTCTTTCTTTCTCTCTCTCTCTCTATATATATATATATATATATATATATATTATATTTATAAGTAAATCACCTTTTCTAAAAGTTAAGGAAAGTGGGTTTCTAAGAATTAATGTAGATTTTCTTTGGATTTTTGAGGAATTTTGTTGGAATTTTGAGGTATTTCACCATATTTTCTTTTTTTTTTTGGTCGCTACTGGATTTTTTTAAATCTCACACATGTATCCCACCGTCTCAATCCTCCATCATATTTTTAAATTTTAACACATATATCCCACCATACATCTTTTCCACCGCTTTTAATTCCTTCTTCAAGACTCCTCTTTTCTCTCTTTTTCTATACCTCACTGGTAATCGACTAGAATTTAAAGCTCAGGCGACATCCCCTCCTATGTTCTTCCTTTTTCTTTGGAAACGATTTCAGTTTTTGATTTTTGAGTAGGTCACTTGCCCGATGAGTTTATTAAGCTCCCTCTTTCACTCGAACTGATCCTCCCTCTCTCATTCCTATTCTATTCATGTGAAATTGGGGATTTTTAGCATTTTTTGTTATTGTTTCTCTATTTATTTCTTAATGAGCGATGGTGGTTCCAAACATTGGATTTCTTCTTCAGGTAATTCTCTCTTCCAGCGATATCCTTTAACGCTCTCCTCTCTAACCCTAAAATGTCGATGTTCAACTCTCTCGGCTAGCACCGCACCACAGCCATCACCACCTTCTTTTCTCTCTCCTAGATACTAGCATCAGAAAACTTCGATTTCTGTAGTTCTTCATGTATCATCTTTGTTTGATTTTGAAACTGGTGTTTCTTTGCAGCATGAATTTGTGCATGGTGTTGTTCTAAGACCGATTTCCAAATGATCTCTAGTTTTGATTTTAGGGCTTTTTGGTTCTTGGCTACCGATTAAAGGTAATAATTCTTCTTTCAATTCCAATGTTTTTTTTGTTTTTTAATTTCCTTTAAATTTTGTTCTTTTATGATGCACCGATTAAGGATTTTAGCATCTCATTTCTCTGCTGATGTTTTCCCCAATTAGGAATTCTCCCAAGTACATCGTCAAGATTTGAAAAAAGGTAGACTTCGTGCTTTTCTTTCCCTCTGCATCGCCACCTCCAGCTAATTTGAAAGAACACTTGCCACCGACTATAATCAAGCTGCAGATTTGACATATCTGCCATTCTGGCTGGCCAGAATCCCATTTGCCTTTTTTAGTGTCTTCTTTCCTTTATTAAAGGTACAATCGTGTCACGGATTGAGATACAGGAAGAGATGGGATCAAAGGGTTCTAATGTTGTATGTAAGTATTTACTTATTTACGATTGCTGTAATTCATTATTCAATCCCTTTCCTCTCTAATTTAACATGAGATTCTCTTTTTGTGTTTTTTTTGGCATTGTGAATTTAATTTAGGTTCAAGTTGGATCAAACCCACAAATTATATTAGAAATGTTAAATTTCTAATTGTTGATTGCCACTCTCATGATGGATTTACAGTGCCTCTTTTGCAGTTGACATATAATCCTAACCATCATGAGAGTGACAATCTTTGTACTGGCATAACTTCATATCCATTAATTGAGAAGAATGGAGATCAGGTTGAAGAGAATGGCCTTTAGTGTTCAAAGTCCACCAAAAGTCCAACTTTTAACCTTCTTCCTCTTGCTCTCACCCAAACTCTACCATAGTTTCAGTTGAACCGTATACATTTCTCTTCTAGCTATGTCAAGGTTCTTAATTTTTTTTCTATCTCAAATTTTTGTATGGTAATATTTGTTTAGTAAGTAAAGATGAAAACTCTGTACTGGATTAGTTGTAGAAACAAGTAATGATGATATATTCATCACAAATACATTCATAACCTCAAACAGGAAAGAAATTGAGTTGGTAAAATATCAAGTAAATCCCATTTTTTTTTAAAAATTGATATCAATCCCAAAGATCAAACATCATAGTAAAAAAGGAGATGCACACCCCTGAATCATATCTTCTAGAATCTGACAGTGCTTACACTTGTAACACTGGTTTGCAAGATAGATTATCCGATTTCTCCTTCTGATGATGCTATAAGTCACATGGTCTGTTATATAAATGAATACATAAGCAATGCCATTTTTCTAAATATAGAGAAGTAGAATATGGTTAAGAAAATGTGTGACTATCTCAAGATCCGGTTTAAGTTTTATCAATTCTATTCCATCATCTTTGTTCTTAAATATTAACCTATTTTTTGTATTATATGAATGCAGGACTTAAAATGACAATATAAATGAAACTGCTAGAAGTGTTTTGAAATGGTACCGTTAACTACTCTATGTACTTTTTTTTTTCGTTTGTATTTTTCCGACAGGTTCTTGACCATAAGCAGTTCTTTTTTAGTAGTAAACATTAAGTATTTTTTTCCAATCAAACAAAAAAAACTTCAATCTTTTTTTCAAATTTAGCCATTTTGAGTTGTTATATTAGGTTTTAGAGGTAACTTTGTGATACCATATTTCACGACCCTTTCTTATTGTTTTAATAGGAAGAAATTTGGAACCTCATGATTCTCCTTAATTTACTTATTCACCAGTGGTTGATGAAGACCTTCTCATGATTATGAAGGTAAATATTGTAACGCCTGTGTTTCTGGGCTTGCCATTTTTAGCAATGTGATAGTCTAGGTTAACCTTTGTAACCCGTTTTGAAATAACAGAAGTGTATTATTTGAGTATTATGTGTTTTGTGCTTAATTGCTTAATTATGTGGTTTGATTAATTAAGAATAAAAATAAGCGTCAAAATTTAAGTGTAAAATAAACTTGATATCTTTAGGTAATGTTGTAGTAGTTGAAACAAGGTTTCCGAAGATATAAAGAATGCCGAAATCCGAGTTATAACGAGGAAGTTATGACTTGTCGAAGTTTCGCGACAGAACCGACAACGCTGATTAACGTAAAAAGTGAAATTTACGTTAGAGAGATATTTAGCCTTAGTGATCTAAACGAGAATCGAAGATCTCGTTGTTAGTATCAAAGCGATAAAAAGTTAGGCGAGAACGGACGTCAAACGAAGAAGTTATGAATTTATAACGAAATTTTCTGTCCCGGCCTATTAAAAATAAATAATAAAAATAAATTCAAAATTAGCCGACGGAGTCTAAACGAAAGTTGTAGAGCGTAGTCTCACCTTCGCGTGGATATAAAGAACGTCGAAAACGGAGTTCGTATGAAGGAGATATGAATTTTCGAAGTTTATTAAATAATTAATAATTAAATTTAATTATTAAATCCGACCTTATCCGAAGACGAGTCACCGGACTCATCCGGAGTACGCCCCGCGTACAGTGAAGATATCGACATTCGCACTCGAGGACTTCGGATGACGCATGCGCTTACGATTTCGGACCTGTACGCCCCGCGTACTCCGAGGCATCAGCCTCCTATAAATAGGATGCGAGGCTGCCGAGTTTCTTTGCTATTTTTCTCCATTCTCTCTCCCGTTTTGCCTCGATTTGCGTGCCAGAAATATCCCGAAGCCCCGGTAATATTCCCGAGTCCCGAAGCAAGTCCTGAGATCCCGAAGATCCCGAGAAGTGCGGTTTCCGAGCCGAAGCTCTGCCCGCGAGAAGTTCGATTTTTGAAGATCTTCCAGATCTGCTGAGGATTACTACTTTTGCAAGTCGTAGTGCTGTCCGATCATCTTCTGATCAAGTGAGTGTATACTACCTTTCATAAACGCAATAATAATACAAGTATGGTTTGAGTGTATTAAGTATATTGTTGTTTATACGTGTAAGTGCGTTGTTACTTTCTCCTAACGTATAATTATGAAGTATTTTATACGAGATACGTGTTATGTGTATATTTTGTTGTTATGTGTGTGAATGTATATTCACTTTCTTCTATCTTACAGATCTGATTATTTCTATATGAAATACGTGTTATGTGTGTGTGCCTCATCTGTTATATGGAAAATGTATTGATCAAGCATGCTATACAGGTTTTGAAAATATGTATAAAAATGTATGTTTTTATCTACTAATATGTTGGGTAGAACATGGGTAGATAGTTGGTGTGTAATAAACAGATGAGAGGCCTCGTTGTTGTTTTGATCCAGTCATCTAGCGGAATTTAGATGACGACCACGGACTTTTCTAGACAGTCCAGTGGAACGCTAGCAGGCTCATAACCTGTAGGTGTTAATGAACTTGGGTGTTCATTCGCTGTATTCCATCCCCCTCATGGTTGCCTTATTTGACTTATATTGCTGAGGAACCCCCGCAGCATGTGTTGTCACCCCGATGAAAATATTCTTAGATTAGGTCCCTTGTGTTAGTTATTTAGGGACGTAAAGTGAGAATAACGGGAATGGGTAACTGGGTTATTGTTGGTTGATAATAATTAATTTAATTATTTATTGTGGGTTGAAAACCCTATATGCTCACCAGGCTCCCAAGCCTGACCCACTCAGTTTTATTTGTATTACAGGAAGTGGCGCAAGGGCGTAAGATGGATGAACCATCAAGTTGTTTTGTTTACAAGTCTGTATATGTATATATTTGTTGAATGACTTGTAATGTTATCGTTTATGCTTATTGGTCTATATCGGAACATGACACCCCGAGTTTTGATTATATAATGAAAAATACATTTCTTTTATGAAATGCTTTGGTAAACATTGTTTTATCATGTTTTGTTTTTGGGAACAAATTCCGCAACTCTTTCAAATCAAAAGGATTTACTCTGAATTTATTTTAAAAGCATAAATGAAAATCGGTCTTTTCTGGCCGAGATTTTGGGGATGTCACAGTTGGTATCAGAGCATTAGTTTAAGCGAACTAGAATTTTTAGGATTTCTAGACTTAAACTTAGAATGCTAAGTGAAATTTTGAGATGTGTGTCTGCTATATTTTAGACACGAGCACTAGTTTATTTTAGGAAAGTTGCCTAAAATGCGTTATGTGCTAAATGTTATATGTTGCCATATATGATATTATATTGTTCGGATCTATGGTCTGTTGCCGACCGGATCTAGAAACTTTATGTGTGTAGGATTCTAAGCGTACGTCTACGATATTAGAACTTGCATGTAAACGTTTCGGAGTGATAAGGATGATTTGAATATCTATCGTGAATAAGGATCTAATTTCACCTTATTCGGTGTGTAGATCAAAAATGGTGAGAACAAGAAGTGGAGTTGGAAATGCTGATGAAAACCGGAATTAACCACCAGTGATTGAGCAAAGACCTGTCGTAGCAGCAGCACCTGAGCCAATAACAATGGATGGTGTACAAATGATGATTCAAACAATGTTGGATCGTCATATGGATGAAACTAGACGGTTGCTTCAACAGAATCATGAAGAACTGTAAATTCGTGTGGAAGAGCCTGAATTGAATGAAGGGCACTCGGAAGGTGGAAACTTCAGTGGATCAGTTGGTCAAGCCAACCCACCGATAGTTAGGCGAGATAACAATGATGGAAGAAATGATGGAATAGGATGCAAGTACAAGGACTTTCTAACTTGCAAACCATCGACCTTCAATGGAAAGGAGGATCCGATTGGAGTTATGGATTGGATTTCAGAAATGGAATTGGCCTTCATGACTTGTGGCTGCAGAGGCAAGTTGCAGACTATCTATGCAGTGCGTCAGTTCCGAGGTGGAGCCGTTCGTTGGTGGAATACTCTAGGGAAGACTTTAAGCCCAAATGAGCCACTGCAATTGACATGGGCAGAATTCTTGGTGCAGTTCAAACGCAAGTTCTGCTTGGCTCAAAATCTATTAGAGCTAGAGAACAAGTTTCTGACACTAACGAAAGGCAGCATGTCAGTTGATGAATACACCAATAACTTCACCGATAAGATGGAGTTTGCCTTGCGTATCGTTCCAGACGAGCTGACAAAGGTGGACCGGTATGCGAAGGGACTCCCATGGGAGTATGAGGTGCCAGTACGTCAGACACATACTCTAGAGGCAGCTATCTGGGTTACCAAGTCTGTTGAGAACATGATAAAGGGGAGAACCACCAACAAGGTTGAGGTTGGTGAGAAGAGGAAATTTGAGGGGGCATCTGGTTCCGGTAAGAAATGCAAATTTTCGAAATCTGATTCGAAAAGGTTTGGTGGGGGGAAAAGGAGGAGAAGCGAAGTGGTGTGAAAAGTGTAAGAAAAAGCACTTTGGAAAATGTAGCGAGGATATGACCTGCTACAAGTGTGGGAAGCTTGGAAATTTTGCTAACGAATGTCCGAACAACAAAAGAATGTGTTTTGGTTGTAATGAAGAGGGGCACATTTTGAAAGACTGTTCGAAGAAGAAGGAGGCAGCTAAGCCCAACATTCCACCAAAGCCGAAGGCGAGAGCATTCAGATGACACTGGAAGCTACTAAAGATGAAGCTGATGTCGCTTCAGGTACCTTTCTCGTAAACAAATTGCTTGCCCAAATTTTATTTGATTCTGGAGCCAACTACTCCTTTATATCGCATGAATTTGGTAGAAAACTAGCTTTGCCTGTTGATAGACTAGATAATGCTTTATTAGTCGAAGTTGCTAGTGGCAAGTTTGTACCTGTTAGCCATCATATGAAAAACATCTTAATCGATCTGAATGGGAATAAGTTCCACGAGGAATTATTGCCT